GTAAATTTTTTATTATTTTTCATCTTTCAAAAATTTAGAAATATTATTTTTAGTTTATATTATTAGGTGATCATTTTTAACTACTTATTTATTTATTAAAAAATTAAGTGATCATCTTAGGTATTACTTACAACTATTAGTGATATTATATTAATGTAAGACACCTCTAAATTTTTTTTACAAGTTCTTAAAATAAATATTATTTATCTATCTTAAAATTATTATTAGGAATAAAAAATAATGATTTTAAAATTTTAGAAAGATGAACATAAATAAAAAAAATATTTTACATAGACTAAAACCAATATTTACTTATTTTACAAGGATGAAAGATATTTTACAAAGATAAAAAATAATATTTACAAATTTTAGAATTTTGATTTACAAATCTCTCTTTGGTTCACAATTTATATTTTTTTTTGTGAATTTCACCTTAAATTTTTGAGAATATTGTGAATTATAATCCTCACCTCTTATCGGACTAAACTTGACATGATTATAAAGGATCATTTTGAATTTATATTAATTTTCATATAAGATAAGTCAAAATGTTAGACAATTCAATATAAATATCACATATATTATGTATATTACATAGATGATTTTAATTTTTGTGAAAAAAAAAGATGATTTTAATTTTTAACTGTATTAATGTATTGACTTTTTTATTTTAATATTATTGAATTGTTTGATATCTATGTTGACTAAGAATGAATGTAGACTAGACTACATGAGTCTGAGTTAGACTATATTAAGCCCAAGTTAGGATAAATAATTTTAGAAAAAAATTAGGTGAAGACTTTTAGTAAACTATTTAGTTTTAAAAAATTAGGCTTTGGGTCATTTATGCTTAACAAACTAACCTATTATTAAATAAAAAAAATTCATGATTATTATTACATATAGAGGGTTACAATTTTCAATATTCTTAACATTTTGGGGGAGGAGCGAGGGGTATAAAATGATTTGAGAGTAAATTTATGACAAAATGCAATTAAGTTTATTTTAAAAGCATATTATGTGTTAATTACTAAAAGGTCTTAATCTAATTTTTGTTCAAAGTCTTAAATATCCCTAAGTCGACCTGCATTACTATGACAATAATATTTTATACGATACTGCCTTGCGTGCTATTTTGGTGTATGTAGTTAAATATGTTCTCAACTTGGTTCACCAGTCATAGAATTTCGTTGATCAACATGCACGTACATTGAACATTGTAGTAACATGAATATATTCACATGGTTGTTATATATATTATTTATCTACATAGATCATCCGAATTCTAAACTACTCTTGGCCTATTTTCTAATTCACATCGTAAAAACTAGTTTTGAATTGCGTAGACATCGAAAAGTACCCTAAATTTATAATAACAATTTGCTTTCTCATCTGAAATCCCCCACCCTACTTATTCTTTCCTTTAAGCATATAAAATGTGCACCTAACAAGTCAAAACAAGTTTTCAAACCTCATACTTTAATTTCATGATTAAATAATTACCTGATTACATCATTTGCACATACATCACATATATTTTTCATTGGTAATCTACAGTAATATTTATTATATAAATTTGTCTACAATAATTTCCTTTCTCGTTTAATTAAATTGGTAGGCCTTTATTACATTAATTCATCTCCCCACAATATCGTCAAGTATATTTTGAATTACAAGAAGACACAATAAAGAATGAATTTTAATATTTAAATAATAAAATAATGATGATATTTTATATTTTAGTGTTTTATTTTTATATTGTAATAATATTTTAAAGTAATTATTGTAATAACCAACAATATTATATATATATATATATGTGTGAAAATTCATATTAGATAATAACATTTTTTTTCTATTATCAGTGCAATCTAATTCAATTATATATATTAAAAATAAAACTTTGGAATATTTTAGAAATCTATAATACTTATATACTACTATAATTGAAGAGTATCAGAAATAATATTATAAACTAAATTGATTGTAACTAGATGACACTATAAAATTACTTTACATTATAAGTGTATAGTCTAATTTTTTCATAAAATAAAAGAATTGTCAATTTACCTGCTTGAGTTAAAGTCTTTTCTGCACTATTCATCAACATTCATTAAATAAATTTGCAAAATCTACCTTAAAATTGAAAATTCTCGTGACATAAATTGTATTTATAATTTTTCATAAATCCAATATTATTTAGTAATTTATCAATATATAATAGATTAACGATATATAAAGAGAAGATATCAATTTACTAAAACTGTAACTTTAAAAGAATTATTCTTCATTTTCATCTTTTATTTTCCTTCGATTAAAAGAATGAAGGGTATTTTTCATCCTTTATTTTATTTTAAAAGAAAATGAAAGTTAATTCTTTTTACATGGATCATACTTACAAAATTTTATATTAATCTAAAATTATTTATCTTCTTATTTATATGCATCAAAATTGACATAATACATTCTTTTAAAATATATACAAATATGTGTGTGAAATATATGAAAAATAAGAATTATTTGATTATCACCATAGAATAATAGTTTTATTTTTCCTTTTACACATGATAATTTGATTATCGCCATGAAATCATATATTGATTTTATTTTTGTAAATTTATGTGGGGCATTGCTCCTAACTTGACATTTGCGTGTTGTAATCCAAAGTATTTTTGTTAAAGTCAAGGTACTATATACATAATATTATTTCAGTATTATAATTTGCATGCCTTTAAGCGCATATAATGTAACGCCTGATTGTAACGCCTAATTTATATAATAATAATTATATATATTCTTATATAATATTTTTGCAATTAAATCATTAACAAAATTTTTTTTTAATAAAGATAAAGATAAAGAAAAAGAATATTTTGTGAATTTAAAACATGATATATCGTTCTAAAATATTTACAATAACGTACTATTTTACACAATATTCCTTTCTTTCACTTCTATTATAATATTTACATTAATAGTGGAAAAAAAATTACAATTGAAATAATATGGTTGACAAATAAAATTATAACAGATCCATCAAATAGCCTCCATATTCCAAGTTCTTCCAAGTAGGACAGCAGTAACAACAACTGCAAAATGATCTGGAATCTCAAGTAGATCCATCTATTTTATAATATATTTAATTTTAAAAACAAAGAAAAGAAAGGAGTAAGAACAATATCCAATAAATATAATAACTCAAAAGAATATACAGAATTATTTATAATCAATATTAAACATATATATATATATATATATATATATATATA